ATTGTTGTAGGTTTTCTTGCCACTGTTGTAATCTTTCTTCTTGTTTCTTTTCTTTTTCCTCTAACAACTGCTGTAATCTCTTTTCTTGTTTAATTTCTCGTTCTTCTTGTTTCTTTTCTTGTTTATTTTGTTGTTCGAGCTGCCATTGTTGCAGGTTTTCCTGCAACTGCTGTTGTCTCTCTTCTTGTTTCTTTTGCTGTTCTTGTATTGCTGCCATCAAATCTGCTAAACTGTAGTTTGATTTACCGCTTCTCGTTTCCATTTTTTTTCGTTCCACTTCTGACACCAATTTGTTACGTCTCCGTTTGTTAATTGATTTTCCGTAACTTCGTTCCGACGAAACTTTAGCGACACAAGTCCTTACTTAATAAAACTGGTTTATTCTTTCTGAATATAACTTTACGATACACTTATTTTCAACAATCGCGCTAAAACAAACGCTATATGAACGAACGTCAACAATACTTCTGACTGCAGTTCAATTACTCACTATCTACACACACATTCTTCCCGTCACGTTGTCACCCTCTTTTATATACCAGGCTACTCTATATCTAGTAAATGCTAGAGCATTCGTCAAGGTACAGGATAGTTCTAGAAACGTGGCGTCACTAGTCATGTGACCTCGCTGACGCAACAATATATTCGGAACAAGTTAAACCTATGTACAAAAATTCCTTACACTATGGAGGTCACAGTTATATTTTAAGCACTATATAGTTCTCTTCTCCTTGTCAAAAGTCCACTTAGTCCTATTCTATTGCTTTAGAATTCAGTTGACAAGCCGAACCATTTTTCTCTATTTCTATTGCCAGACTATCCGTGTATAGTTCACTTACATTGTCGTTGAGTTACCACGGTTGTATCCTGTACTCCAAAAATGGTCTGCCCCTTTTTCGTATTTCCAAAAATCGTCTGCCTTTTGTTAAAGTCCACTCAGGCTGTTCAATTACTTTAGAACACTCTTTGATAAGACAGTTTATTTTCCGTATCTCTTACGAAGTTGTTCATCTAACATATCAACCATCAGGGGCGGATTGGCCTATCGGGATACCGGGACTTGTCCCG